GGACCACTCGTGGCAGTTTAGTCTGTAAGTCAAACTGGCATCTGTGATATGCAATGAAAGTACCTTGACTTTAGTACTACTCTTCAGCCCAGGATTTGAAATTTTCTGATCCTCCTCAATGCTGTCCTACCCCTATATTTTCATTATTTCTTCTTAGCATGTTTATTAGCTAAAGAAACATCAGAATTCAGGTAGGTCAGTTTTTAGTTCTAAATATCAGACTCAAGAATTTTAGGTTTCATGGTGTCAGTGTGATAGGACAGTAGATAGAGAATTTGCTTTGAAAGCGGCCAGCCTGGGTTCAACTTTTCAATATACCAGGAGTAGCACACCACATTGGATGGAATCGAAGTTGGATACCACGGTCAAGGCTTCAAAGACACGGAGCTGAGTTCAAAAGAAAGACCACGGGGAGCAAGACGCAATGTTATTCTGGGATATAAAGTAGAAGGCAACCAATCTTGAATAAGAAAGTATTAGCACCCAAGGCTTAACATATAACAGCATATGGTCCCCTGAGTACCACTAGGAGTTATTGCCCAGCACATAGCCAAGAGCAGGGCCCAAGCATTGCTGGGTGTGGTTCAAAAATACATAAAAAAAATTTTAGTTTTTATGCCTAGAAAGTTTCTATGTTCTTCCAGACCTCAATGCCTTGGAAGATAAGACTCCTCCTATCTATAGTCTTCTTCATATCTTATCTTGCATAGGTTTGATTTAGATTCAAGGTCCTAAATCAACGATACATTATGATCACCTCCCTGGACAATGTCAACCACTACCTGATATTCTCCTGTTAAAGTCTGCTCATAATAACTCCAATAGTACATCTAACAATTAAATTATGGTAATAATTTATATATACATCCTTTGATTAAAGGTAATGTCAAAACAGATGTCTTATATATTCTTTTGTTATCAGTGCAGACTATTGGTGCAAGCTCTATGAATGCCAATTGAATAATAAATTAATTGATCTGTGGCATAAGAGTTGACTATAAGCTCTGTAGAAAGGTGATTAGGGTGACAAAGTACATAACTACTCTGCATATGGATTCTCTTCCTATACGGAATGGAAGCCCTACCTACAGCTGCATACATCTTCCAGGGTTGGTCTGAACATTGGTGGGAGGGATCCTAGGTCAAGAAAGGGGCTACTTACCACCTGCCCAAACAGAGCTTTAGCAGCCCCAAACCTCCAGAACACAATCACCACCATGCTCATGGTCAGACTCCACAGGCTTGGGATGAGCCTCATCCAAGAGTGAATCTGTTGAAAAACTTAGGAATGCGGGTTTTGTGAACAAAATCTTCAGAATCTCATGGAGTCAGGGTTGGGAGAACTGCCCCCATCCCCATTCTGGGAGCCTTGCAGTCGTGCCCATGAACTGCCTCTGGTATCATATAATCTCATTAATCAACCATGACCCAGAGACTAAAAAATAAATCTTGGAAGAGATCAACAAGCTGCAGAAACGCTTCCGGAACCCAAATTCACCATCCTGTTAAAATTGTAACTCCAGCTGTATCACTCCATTCAAAATTTTAGAATTCCTGGAGCAAAATCTCATACTCTACACCACTGATACACCAGGAGTAGCACACCACATTGGATGGGATATAAAGTAGAAGGCAAACAATCTCAATTAAGAAAATATTAGCACCCAAGCTTAACCTGTAACAGCATGTTATTAATCTCTTCTATAAGGGCTTAATTGCTCTAGGATGAGATAAAACAAAACAACCTTCATACACTCTCTTCTAAGGAAATCTTTTTTGATCATTTTTTAGCGAATCATTCATAACAAGCAATATAAAATAAATTATTTAGGACCTGCTATTTGGGAAGGCTTGAATGGTGGCTGTGAAAATTAGAAATAATGGTTGTAGGAAGGTGTAATGGTGGTGGGATTGATGTTGAAATATTGAATGTAATAAATTATTGTGAACAACTTAAAAAATAGAATTTAATTTTTTAAGAAAAGAAAGGGATTTAGAACTTCCTTATGAGACAGACAGGGAGAAAATAACCCCAGATGTAATATAAAAAGGAGTTGGGTCCTAAACCAGCTTCCACTCTCTATCCATGATTTTAACATATCACACACTTTGCTTAGTAATGCTCTGAACCCCTCATCTTTTTCCTTGCTGTCTCATATGAGGGTTGATGCAAGCAAACATTCATGAGGTTCTCTCCAGGTAGGACTGCCAGGCACAGTATATAAAAATGCAGGATTTCTAGTGACAATTAAACTTCAGGCAAGCAATAAAAATATTTTGAATAAGCATACTTTGTAAAATATTTGTGAAATACTTAGATTAAAATAGCTAATATTCAACTAAACTGGAGTCTTGTACTTTATTCTTTTTCTTTAAAAGGAAAAAACTGAGTAGACATTAATACATCTGAGAACAAAGATAGTGACTACGTATTCCTTTATGGACCCAACCTTCAAGCCAGGAGCAGCACCAAGCACATACCAGTGCAGCATAATACATTAATAATTTAGAGCACCATCTTTTAAGCTACATGTTCCTGAGTTCAATTCCTTGCTCTGCATCTTCGAATACTTGTAACTCTAGGAAAAACACATTATTTCTCCAGGCTTGAATTTCTTTATTTAAAAAAATGAGAATAACAATGGCAGCCTCCCAGCAACTTTGTTGCTGTGCATCTAGTTTAACGTCTGTGCTGCATCCGTTTACTACCATTATTACTACTATTATCATATCATCACAATATCATTACCATCATCATCATTATCATTATTATCATGTTGGTTCCAATGTTTCTTGCATAGCTAACTGTCACTCCCTTCTCTGCGACAACTAAAGATCGGATAGGATAGGTCAAACTAAACTAGATTACTCTGTACTAGAAAAGCAAGTCCATAGCTCATTTTTCACTTGGTTGATACTACTTATACTTATTTTATCATTTGATCCATGTAATCACCCAAATGAATATTATTAAATGAATTTTTGTATATATTGGATTCAAAGCACAGGAAAAATAGAAATGCTTCTAAAGTCACAAGGTCACACATCTTAGAAAATGGAAAATCTGAAACTCAAACTGAGCTTTATTTGGTCCAGTTAGATTCCAAAGTGCATATTTCTGGCAATAATATGCAAGGAAAATTTCTCTATAATATTACCAAGCAAAATGTCAATGCTACCCCACCCAGAGAAAGAAATCTGATAACTGTCATAGAAATATCTGTAGGAATTGAAGTACACTATATTCCTTGCATTTGCTATCTACTTACCAAACTAAAATGTTGTTCTCAAAGAAGACCCTCATCTTCCTCTTCCTAGCTTAGGAAAAGTCATGTTGTATAACTTCAACATCTTCTCTACCTGCAGTCAAATTCACTTGCTTAGATCAATAGAGGATAAGTTAGTTTCTGATCTGCTATTAACATGGGACTCATAATGCATTCTTTACCATTCATCAGATGTTTTATCCTTTCTATTTCCTAGTAATCTAGAAATAATAATATGGCTCAATATTTCAGATCAAGAAACTGAGGTATGCAAAAGTGCACTATCATTCAATTATCAGAAAGTCACAGAGACAATAACTGACAGAACTGCTACCTAAACACGTTTTTTTCAAAGTTATTTTTTGGGGGTCACACCTAGGTGATGCTCAGGGGTTATTCCTGGCTCTACATTCAGGAATCACTCCTGGCAGTGGTCTGGGAATGCTGGTGATCAACCTTGGGTTGACAGAATGTAAAGCAAGCATCTTACCGGCTTTGCTCTTTATACTTGCTTTACTCTCTGACCTCATCAAAATTATTACGTTATTCAATATATATTTTGTTGGTTATCTTTTTTGTATAAATATTGATTTTATATATTGGTATAAGTTTAGGAACCACCTAGTACTCATTTCAATTAATTGATTTTTTAGTATTCTGTAATATAACCAGTATCATTTAATTTAGAGTGTATTCAAAAGTAAGAGCAGTTTATATCAAGATACAAACAATATCTCATACTCAATTTTCCTCTTCACTGAACACAAATAATTTAATTTACAATTTTTCTAAGGTTTGCTAATTTGCCTTAGGTTATATGTTTTCAACTCTTGGGTGGGGAAAGGGCACGAGAAAACATAGCTGACCTTGGTTGCCTACAACCTATTGAGAGAAATGTTTAAGTGGATCTTAGTCAAGATTAGGAGTGAATCAGCTAACTCTGCCTAGAAACACAAGAATAAGTTTCTGTGAAAATGAAGTCAAAGCTGAGACCGATATCCACATTCTTTTGGGTTTCATGAGGATTCAGATGTGAAAACGTATTCTACCCTAAAGAGATCTATAGGTTTTAAGAGGAGACAGGGAAGACAGATATTAAAAATAGTTAGTTCCTAAACAAAAAATGGTAAGTGGTATATAGAAAATAATGCAGCAACTGTTTATCTCGAACAGACAAGATTGCCAAGAAGGTTTCACATAGAAGTAATCAAATCTGACTCTGTAGAATTAGTATAAATAAGTGGGAATAAGTGGGAACAATGGAGAACATCTCCCAGAAGTTACAGGTGGGGGGGCGGGGTGAGCAAATACCAACATATGAGCTTTGTAATGGGACTGGGAATAGCTAAGAGCATGAAAATAGAAGAAGCAGAGAACAGCAGGTAGTGGGTAAGTCCACCTCGTCCACCTGATTTACGTTTATTTTCTTTGGCATTGAGCAGTGATTCTGTCAGATGTCCATCAAATCTGCAGCACTGTCTGTGCAACTGACAGAGTTATCCCAGTGCTACTCACACATTAGAAAAACCACGAGGGTTTTTATTTCCCTATAAAAATGATTTTATTGTTTGAAAGACAGAGCACTGCGCAGTATTAGATATTCAAGAGCAAGCTGTATCTTGTGCAACAGCCTAAATTCCAAAGGAGATGATGTCACTTATAAAAACCTATAAATGGAGTAAGGCTTCATGTGTATCTGCACAACTTATCTACAGCAGTACTCAGTGCTGCAACATGACTATCTCAGTTCTTCGGCTGACAGTTGTCCTTGGGCTGCTTGTGTTAATCCTGACTTGCCATGCGGGTAAGCGCTTCTGGTTAGAGCTCACAATATGTAGTAGTTAGCCACAATTGGAGGAAGTTGGTGGCACTGGTCCAGAATATAAAGGAAAGAGGGGAGGGGCACTTTGGACATTGGAGAAAGATAAACAGAAACAGGATTGTCATTCAAATGTGCTCTCAGTTTTTAATTGTTTTTATCTTTGGGGAAAGTATGAAATTAGAAATGATTGATTTTTCTGTATTTTTATGTGATTTAATGATACTCTCCCATATGACTCTCTGAAGATCCTGGGGTATTTATTTTTTGGGAACCCAAAATTGTAGAGGAAATTTTATATGAATATATGTTTGTATGATAATATTATTGATAATAATACTACAAAGAACTGCAAACTTACTCTAGGCCTGGTAGTATAATAAATGGCATATATATATGAAGTTATATATCATGTGTTAATATGCACATAAATTTGAAATATCTTTAAAATATATTTAATTTGAATATACTTGTATATTCAAATTATTCATATTTGAATATACATTTCAAGTCTGACTATGACACAAAAATGAAACTCAGAGACAGAGTGTTTGTAAGATTGAATAACTAATTTTATTTGAAGATGGGAAATCAAACTCAGGGCAATCAAAATAGGATGCTAAAGCATCAAAAGATGTGTAATTTAAGATATGATCTTCATGTATTTTCTAATCTTGAATTCCTTGCATATTAAAAATCCAGCACGTACTTTTTAAGTCAATAAAAAGAAATTACTATACCACAGGAAAATAGAAACTCACAGAAACTGAGGCATGGAAATGCTATTTTACACCTACTAAAGGTCTTCCTGGAGTAATTGTTTAAGTATTAGTACTATATTATGTAAATATGGCAGCGAAAATAAATTAAGTTGAAACTTTGATCAATCACTTTCTAGATATGTGATTTTAGGTGAGTCATTTAAATTCCCTAAGCATCTGTATTCTTTCCTGTAAAACCTTAATACCCTCACTGAACCAAGGAGGATTATGCAGGTGATGAAAGCACTAACCTAGAACCTGCTTAGTAGACAAACCACAAATATGCATTCTTTTTTCCTTTCTCTTCCCAGGTTGAAAACAAAACAATTCTTCTAAGCACTGTAGTTGTCCTATGAGTGTTATGTCTACGAGTGCCCCTATTTTAATTTTAGTACTTAGTATATGTTATAAACATAATAATAGACTTTAAAATAAAACAGTGGAAATGTAAAGAACTTGTTGAAAGAAAGAGCCATTAGCTGAATTAGTACTTAGTACTTAGTGTCCTGGCTTTGGTTATAGGTTCCAGATGCATGCTCCTATCAAATCATTGATTAGAGTATTATAAATAATACATGTTTTCAGAACTGAGAATCCCTCTCTTGTTTCTAATTAAAAGTTTTGACTTGATGATATAATGCAGATGCAATTCTTCTGCTTTAATGTGACAGTCGCCATATAATAAGCATATAATGAGATTTTATTTTTCAAAAATCATGAGATGTTTGGTTTAGAAGTTGGGACCACCTTGTTTAAATCAAACTTGTGGTGGGGTTGCTAGTTAAAATGTAAGGCTTCCACTTATATTTGTATTTCAGATAAACCGTGAATAATCTTAGTATAAATATATCCTAAGTAAGGTATGGATTGTTCTTATAATAAAAAATGAAATAAAAATTTAATTGGGAGCCACATATTTTAATTTATTAATTCTGCCAACACTATATGTGAGGTTGAAAAAAAACCAAAAGATAAAATGTCTGTTTCATCTGGTCACCAGAGTCTAGAGGCAAAGCCTTATGTAGCTATTGACTCTCTCCATTCCTTCCATACCCCTGAACCCTTTATGTCACTGACCAAAACTGTCCAAGGGAACTTCGTGAACCACCTTCACTCTCTAGATTTTGGTCTCATTTTATAAAGGACATTTGATTGAGTCTGAAGAGAAAGAGGCCTATGATTTAAGACCCATCTTGTCTCGATCTTCTTTAGGTCTTTTGAAAATCTCTTAATCTGTTTAGGTATTCAATCCAATGAGGTGAAATCTAAATATGCTCTAAGATTGGTCAAAGATAAAATTACACAGCATTTGTCAAATAATTATTTATATAACTATCAGATGGTATAGAAGTGACATAATTCCTCCTGCTTTTTATTACTATAATACTTTTAATATGACACACTTATAGGTGGATCATAATTTTTCTGTTAAAGACTGAAAATCATCAGACTACTCTGAATCCAGATAATAATATCAGACAGCAAGAGATAACATTTTTTCTTTGCCTATTCGCTCTATAACTTTGAAGAAAACTTCTAATTTTTTCATAAATTCTACTCTTCTTTTTTAATCTTTTCGCAGTTGGAGGAATTGACTCAGAGCCTCACACATGAAAAGCCTATTTTCTACCACTGAACCACCTCTCTGGCACCTTTATTTATTTTTAATTGAATCACCATGAACTACAGTTACAAAACTTTCATGTTTGAGTTTCAGTCATACAAAAGGAAAACATCAGAAAATGGGGCTTTGAAATGAACAGAAATTTTCTCAAAGAAAAAATTTGAATGGCCAAAAAGTAAATGAAAAAAAGCTCTCTGGAACCTTTGAAGCCTCATTCCTTACCTTTAATTTGCAGAGAGTGCCTTGTTTCTTTCATAGATTTGTTGTGAAAATAAAATGGGACAATTCATATCATTGCCTGTCTTAGGTGTGTGCTAAACAAATGTGACCTATAACCATTTGTCTTCATTATCATTGCTATGATTACATGGTCAAATAAGAGCAGCACACGAATTTAGTGAAGGGTAGTACAAGGATTTTCAGGAGTTCCTTGCAAAAAAAAACCAACAAAAAACAAAAAAAGAACTTCCCTTTCTTGTTGCTGAGAATCACCTCTAAGATTATTTTCTGTTTTTCAGATGATAAACCAGATGGCAAACCAGATGGCAAACCAGATGACAAGCCAGATGACTCAGGCATAAAACCAGACTCTGGATTCCCAGGCTTCCTAAACCTCTTGGGCACGGAGATCATAGAGAATGCAGTGGAGTTCATCCTACGCTCCATGACAAGGAGCACGTAAGCACTGAGACAAGTGGTGCTTTTGTCCAGTTTGTTTTTAGTAATGACCTTGTTACATTAAAATGAATGAGAAACAAAATTGTGGTACATATAACTGTATTATTTTAATAGAAAAGTGTTGCCCTCCTTAAAAATATACATTTATGTATAATACATACATATGTGTGTACATATTATATACATATATTATATATATATATATATATATAAACACATGTGTGCCTCTGAATGAATTCCCCTGAACTTCCTGGGGTTTGACACATGCCAGTCAAGTGGTTCAATAAAACATCTTTTATCTCAGAACCAAGAGGGAAGATCACTAGACTAGGGGACAGAAAGCAGGTCTGATCTAGATACAGGTGATAACATTACTTGGACAACATTGAGAGTTACACTATAACTCTTTGGTGAAGTGGTAGATAGTGATGTTCATTAGTAAGGGGTGTGATATGCCCTGTCTTTATTTTTTAGCTAAAGTAAGGTGTGAAAGTAGCAAAGATCACAGTTAATTGAAGCCATAGAGGAGTGTCTGTGGATCTCTCAACAAGAGAACCTATTAGGAAAACCAGGAATTGTGTTGAACGTCGCAGGGAAGTCTTCCCAATGTTCTCATTCTGTTGAAAAATCCAAGTGCCTAATTCCTAAAACATCTTGTTCCAGTCTACATATAAACCCTACATATAAAGCTTTGTCTTTATACTTCTCTATACCTCTGTTCTTCATTCTACCCACATTAATCTCTCAGTTTCAGCACTCCAGAATCAAATTCTTCCTTAGGTTCCTGTTGTCCATCTTTAGTCGTCACCCCTTCTAAACCTGTGATCTCCCATTCTCTCCTTCATAGAACTTTGAACAGTCTAGTATCTCACCTGCTTCAGAATTCCCTGGAGAACTTACACAAAATGCAGTCTTCTACATCTGATTGTCTACTTTCATATTCATATTTTGAGTAGATGCAATATTTTTGCATTTATACTAATTAGATTCTCTAAAAGACTAATACCCAGTAACAGATTAAGAACCACTGCTACATAGAAGACCTTTCATAAATCAGGCAACAATTTATGACCTAGGTTCTACATAAATTAATATATTATCACCTGATGAGAAGAATATACAGTCCTCATGGAAAATTTTTAAAATGTTTTTTTTATTGAATCACCATGAGATACAGTTACAAAGCTTTCATGTTTGAGTTTCAGTCATACAATGATCAAATACCCATCCTTCCACCAAACAAACAAAACAAACAAACACTGTCCTCCCCTTGTTCATCAATTTGCTTGACCGGGCCCAGTTACATCTCCATTTTATTTTGAGACTTGCTGTTACTGTGTTTGGCTAACATCTTCATTTTTTTGAAACTTGCTGTTACTGTGTTTGGCATATTGAATACGTCACGAGTAGCTTGCCAGGCTTTGCTGTGCGGGCGAGATACTCTTGGTAGCTTTCTGGGCTTTCCGAGAGAGGCAGAGGAATCAACCCAGCTTGGCCAGGCTGGCTGCGCGCAAGGCAAACACCCTACCACTGTGCTATCACTCCAGCCCATATCCCAGGTGGAAACATCCCTCCACCAGTGTACATTTTTACCAACAATATCCCCAGTATCCCTACTAACCCCCTATCCCACCTCTCACCCTGCCTATATGGCATATAATTTCCTTTTTGCCCTCTCTCTACTTTGGGGGCATTATGGTTTGCAGTACAGATATTGAAAGGTCATCATGTTTAGTCCTTTACTACTTTCAGCACACATCTCCTATCCCGAGTGATCTCTCCAACCATCATCGACTTAGAGATTCCTTCTCTATCCCAGCTTCTTCTCCCCAATTCATGAGGCAGGCTTCCAATCATGGAGTAATCTTCTTAGCTCTTGTCTCTACTGATGAAAAAGTTATTGAAAAACTTACAAATATTTATTCTATATTGTCATCTGTCTTATTGTGGTTATTGCAACTGTTGATTCTTTTCATTGTTAATATGTACAAAGAGGAAACTGTGAAACAAAAGTAACACCCACTGTCTCACTGCTTGCAAAATACAGATTAGACTCCAACCTAATTCCTATTTCCATTATATACTGAAATGACTAATTGCCCTCTACAAAACCTCACCTAGGTTTTCCAAAAATGCTTCTAACTCAACTCAAATCTGCACCCAAATCTCTTTTACAAATCTTTTCCTGTAAAATTCCTGATTTAAGCTAGTCAAGCTCCTATCACCTAGAATCCAGAAACCTCAGTTTTCTTTGAGACTCCTTGCATTGCATTGCCTCAATCTCAGTACTAAATAATCTAACTCTAGATATACTTCTCTCATCCCTTTCATTCAAGTTCATTAAATTGTTTATGTCTCTCCTTGCTTCAATCCTTACCAGCTTTATGATTTAAACAAGTTTCCTTTTGAGGTTCAGAGATTTCATAATATGTAAAAATAAATAAAAATTTGTTTACTTACTGGGGCCAGAAAGATGGCACAGCAGGTAAGTGTTTGCCTTGCACATGGTCAAACTTGACTCAATCACCAGCACTCGTGTGGTTCCCAGAGTACTGCCAGGTGTGATCCTTATCCACAGAGACAGCAGTAAGCCCTTAGGACTGCTAGTGTGGTCCACCCCTCCAATTTATTAGTTTGTCAATTAAGCAGCTATTTATAAGTCAAACTATATATCAGGAATTATTCTAGGCATATATTACTGAACAAATATATGAAGATATCCCTATCTTTTAGAGATGAATATGAAGAGCTACCTAAACTTACACATGAATAGATAGCTGCTTATTGAAGTATTTTCAGTAAAAGATGAAATAATGACTTGTTAACTAAAGTGTTATGAATATTTCATGTCATCTTTCTAGCATAGAAGAAAAGTGTACCTCAAATAGTATGACACCTTTAAAATCATTCTAACATTCCTGTTTATTCTAAATTTTAATTGTTTTTTTTTTTCTTTTCAAGAGGATTTTGGGGATTTGGTGAGAAAGCAGGAGAAAGCTCATCAAAATGACCACCCCAGGTGATTTTTAACTTGCAATTTTTACACGGAAAGTAGCATATTGAGCAAAAAATTTAAAGGGTTTTTGTTTCTCTTTTCTGGGTCTCCCTTTTAGACTTGCCAATCTCCTCAAGTGTAATTTCTGAAATGAATAAGCTCATATACACACACACACACACACACAATGTAACTCTTAAAAACTTCTTTCAAAGTGGTTATGAAGTTTTTCGGTGTCACTATCATTGTCTGAAAATTTATATTCCATATCCTGACCAAACATTGTTAACTGTGTTCATAATTTTAAAAGTTCTAATAAGACATAAAAGGTTTTACAATGATGTTTTAGTTTGTATTTAATTTTTCTATGAAATAATTTTCATTTGCTCATTTCTTGTCTTCAGCTCATATTCCATATCATGAAATTGAGCACCAATGCTTAGCTATATGCAGATAATTTTTGTTTATAGTTTCTCTTTTTAAATGGATTTAAATAGAAGTATTTATATCATCTCAAAATCACTGACTTAAGATTCTCTTAGAGGAGGGTATATAGTTGTGGCATCAAACAAGTATACACTGGGGATGGGAGGAATCTGATCACTGTCACCAATCTACAAGGAATTGGCCAATCAGAGATATGATTGGCATTCATCTCTACAAGTTCCACCTAGAAAGTTCAGGGCTCACACACACACACTGAAATGCAAACTAACTCACACAATTAGTTACAAATGGAGACTGAGATTTTCTAAAACTTAATTCCAGGCATAAGTACAATCAGTATCTCTAATCTGACACAGTGAAATTTATATACATGTATGGCTTTATTAATCAAAAAGAAAAAGAGAGAAGAGGCCACTGTAGAAATAACAATCGAAAGTTCTGCTGTTTCTTTATTTGCTTCTCTCAATCACGAATACTGAAATATAAAACAGAAATGTTAGAAACATAAAAAACAATTTCATCACTAGTTATCATGAGCTGTTTAACTTACTTTGCTGTAGGAATCAGGCGAAGGGCTATAGATATGATACCTACTTAATTTAATTCTTGCATCCTTGTAAAACATAGGGATTGTTCTATAATTTTTAAGAAAACAAGGGCTGGAGAGATTCATTAATATAACCAAGTTTCTAAGTAAAGAGAGAAGCTGAATTAAAAAGTATCTCAATCCCAGAATCCATGTTCTACCGCAAGTGGCAGTGCTGCTGAAGAACAGAGTAGAATAGTGGGGGAGGAGGCAGCAGAGAATGGCGATTAAATGATATGATCTTAGACATGCCTCCAGGTGCCCATAGAAATAAAACACTATCCCTTTACTTAATTGAGTTACCTTACATGCATCTCCAGGAAACATCACCTTTCCCAAGCACTACTATTTCATATCATATCTGATCTGGGAACGCTCCTTTACACTACTGACTTCATTTCATAACTTGACTGTGATTACCATAACCTCAGGAATCTACTATAACATGTTCTAAAACTTAGTCCTTTCTTTCCCATGAGTTTTGAGGGATTAAAATCAGACTCGGGCTATGAGATCAAGACATACCCATCCCATATATCCTGACCATCATCCACAAAGTCAACTACTAAACTAAAAATATCTGCTTGCATTCTTACATTTCTGTCTTCAGAAAATATTCTACCTCTTGCTGCAAGTGTCTTTGTCTTCATTCAAGATGTTGATATATACCTTTACTTATTGCTACCCATCTCCCAAGTCCTTGGAGTGCCTCTTCAGAGTCTCAAATGATGTGCCATTTAATAGGTAATGCAGCATGAAGTTATAAAAAGTAAAAACATAATGAAGATACAAGCCTTATTTTCCCTCTTATGGGTTGAATGGCCATGCAGTGGTCACTTGGCTACCAGAGTCTTACTTTCCTGACCACTAATAGGGAAAATGTGAGGAATTTGTTCCAAATCTTAATTCCAACATGTTATCACTGCACCTAAAAAGTTTTGAGTGGATTCATGAGCAAATGGTCCATAATGAGCAA